AGCAATAAAAAAATTATAAATGATTTGATGAAAAAATGACAAACAAAATTGTAAAAGTGTTGCCAGATGGTTGATTTTGTACAGTAGGGTTTTATTAATGTATTTTCGAACAATCGGCTTTTGAGTTGGAAAAAGTCGAAGTCGTCTAAAATAATTAACAAAAGTCACTATAATGATTATCTTCTAAGGAAACTAGACAGAAGCCAGTACCTCGTTTCTGCATTTTCACATCGAGAAAAATTATCGGAAAAGAAATTTAAATATTTCTTGTTAAATTTTAATGCCCACAATTTAAAAATTAACTGAATAAACCCTGTTAAAAACTAGAAGACTATTTAATAAAATAATAAAATTTAATCGATCCGAGAAAAATACAGAAACGAGGCACAGAAGTCGATATAAAATTGGTTTAAAATCAATTGTACATTTTAAGTAGTTAGTTAGTTAGTTAGTTAGTTAGTTAGTTAGTTAGTTAGTTAGTTAGTTAGTAGTTAGTTAGTTAGTTAGTGTAGTTAGTTAGTAGTTAGTTAGTTAGTTAGTTAGTTAGTTAGTTACTAGTTAGTTAGTTAGTAGTTAGTTAGTTAGTTAGTTAGTTAGTTAGTTAGTTAGTTAGTTAGTTAGTTAGTAGTTAGTTAGTTAGTTAGTTAGTTAGTTAGTAGTTAGTTAGTTAGTTAGTTAGTTAGTAGTTAGTTAGTTAGTTAGTTAGTAGTTAGTTAGTTAGTAGTTAGTTAGTTAGTTAGTTAGTTAGTTAGTTAGTTAGTTAGTTAGTTAGTTAGTTAGTTAGTTAGTTAGTTAGTTAGTTAGTAGTTAGTTAGTTAGTTAGTTAGTTAGTAGTTAGTTAGTTAGTTAGTTAGTTAGTTAGTTAGTTAGTTAGTTAGTTAGTTAGTTAGTTAGTAGTTAGTTAGTTAGTTAGTTAGTTAGTTAGTTAGTTAGTTAGTTAGTAGTTAGTTAGTTAGTAGTTAGTTAGTTAGTTAGTTAGTTAGTTAGTAGTTAGTTAGTTAGTTAGTTAGTTAGTTAGTTAGTTAGTTAGTTAGTTAGTTAGTTAGTTAGTTAGTTGTTAGTTAGTTAGTTAGTTAGTTAGTTAGTTAGTTAGTGTTAGTTAGTTAGTTAGTTAGTTAGTTAGTTAGTTAGTTAGTTAGTTAGTTAGTTAGTTAGTTAGTTAGTTAGTTAGTTAGTTAGTTAGTAGTTAGTTAGTTAGTTAGTTAGTTAGTTAGTTAGTTAGTTAGTAGTTAGTTAGTTAGTTAGTTAGTAGTTAGTAGTTAGTTAGTTAGTTAGTTAGTTAGTTAGTTAGTTAGTTAGTTAGTTAGTTAGTTAGTTAGTAGTTAGTTAGTTAGTTAGTTAGTTAGTTAGTTAGTTAGTTAGTTAGTTAGTAGTTAGTTAGTTAGTTAGTTAGTTAGTTAGTAGTTAGTTAGTTAGTTAGTTAGTTAGTTAGTTAGTTAGTTAGTTAGTTAGTTAGTTAGTTAGTTAGTTAGTTAGTTAGTTAGTTAGTTAGTTAGTAGTTAGTTAGTTAGTAGTTAGTTAGTTAGTTAGTTAGTTAGTTAGTTAGTTAGTTAGTTAGTTAGTAGTTAGTTAGTAGTTAGTTAGTAGTTAGTTAGTTAGTAGTTAGTTAGTTAGTTAGTTAGTTAGTTAGTTAGTTAGTTAGTTAGTTAGTTAGTTAGTTAGTTAGTAGTTAGTTAGTTAGTTAGTTAGTTAGTAGTTAGTTAGTTAGTTAGTTAGTTAGTTAGTTAGTTAGTTAGTTAGTTAGTTAGTTAGTTAGTTAGTTAGTTAGTTAGTTAGTTAGTAGTTAGTTAGTTAGTTTAGTTAGTTAGTTAGTTAGTTAGTTAGTTAGTTAGTTAGTTAGTTAGTTAGTTAGTTAGTTAGTTAGTTAGTTAGTTAGTTAGTTAATAGTTAGTTAGTTAGTAAACCCGAGTCGAAAAAAATAGTTCAATTGTACCAAAATCGTCATATGCAGTTATAAAGGGTAGCCAGATGGTAATTATTTTACGGTTAAAGAAATCAACCGCTGTTAGAACAAACTAAAAATGCAACTGTGTGATAAAATACCGTTATGAGATAATAATAAATGGAGTTGTTATGTTTAATACTACTTGTTTAAATTTGATTCTTAAACGTTTGTAGTAACTTATGATTTTTGTTTACTTTTTGAAGTTTATGTTTTAAATTATTATTATTCGATTGTTAATTTTTCATTGCTGTATATCTAAATTTAAATAAAGAAATACGTTATTTTTAAAAAACACAATATTGGTGTCAGAAGTGGGATATAATGAGTATGTCCCAAGAGCAACTATCGAATGTTATGGAATTACTGGCAGGAGCAATTCGCTCTGCAGTTGCAGATGTGGCGCAGACTGCATCCATGGGTTTTTCGTCGCCTTCATCTTCTGCAGAATTGAATTCAAAACCACCACAATTTTCAATGGTCGAATATAAACAAGAAGATGGAGGATCAGTTTCTGATTATTTTACTAGGTTCGACTGGGCGTTGCAGTTGTCGAGAGTTGCAGAAACTGAGTATGCAAATTACGCACGTGTGCATATGGGCACACAACTGAATACAGCTTTAAAAATATTAACAAGTCCGAGATCGCCAGGTGAATTAAATTATGCTGAAATCAAAGATATTCTGATTCGTCATTTTGATGGAAAGAAAAATAAATATGCAGAAAGCGTGAAATTTAGACAAATGAAACAAGAACCGGGAGAATCAGTAGCAAAATTTAGTCTTCGATTGAAAAATGGAGCAGTTTTCTGCGAGTACGGCCAATTTTTAGATAGGATGCTAATTGAGCAGCTTTTAATGGGGCTAGAATCTGCAACTATTTGTGATGAACTGATTGCAAAACAACCACAGAGCTTTAGTGAAGCATACGAGATAGCTTATGCTAGAGAACTAACTCATCATGCAACAAAAGAAGTTAACTCCAGCAATGAGCCTTTGCAACCGGAACAAACATTCAAGTTAGGTTTTGCTCCAGTTAAAACCAAAAATAAAAATAGTAAATCTGATGCTGTATTTCCAAATAAAGGTAAATGTTACGGGTGTAATGGGAATCACACGAGAAACAACTGTAAATTTAAGAGTGCGAAATGCTTCGCTTGTGGTAAGATCGGTCATATTTCTAAGGTATGTAAAAGTAAAACTGGTCAAGTAACGATGGAACAGGACGAAGAAAACGATTCTGTTGAGCAATTGCGTTTTATAAATAAAATTAAATTTTCAAAACCGTATGAAAAGAAAATGATATTTGTGAGTATCGATGGTAGGAAATTGGAAATGGAGCTTGATACTGGTGCTCCTTGTAGTATAATTAGCAAGAAACGCTTACGTGCTATCAAACCCTATTACACTTTACATAAATCTGACAGAAAATTTGCTAGCTATACAGGTCACTCAATAAATTGTATTGGCAGAGTTGTAGTAAATGTGACTTTGGGAAAAACTTCTCGTGTCTTGAATTTATATGTTGTAGAAGATGATTTAGACACTTTGTGCGGCCGTGAATGGATAAGTCATTTTGCTCATGATATTAATTTTTCAGATCTATTCGCATCTACACCGCCAAATAATAACTCTCCAAACGATAGCTTTAGTTTAAACACTATTACTTCCGATGTATCGATATTAAATTCTATTGAAAAAAATCAACTACAACAATTGTAGATAAATTTGATGATGTATTTGGAAGTTCAGCTGGAAAGCTTAAATGTCCTCCTATAAAGATTCATATGAAGCCGAATGCTAGACCCATATTCGCTAGACCAAGAGAAGTTCCTTTAGCTTTAAGAGAAGCATATGCCAAGGAAATTGATGCTAAAATTGCTGCCGGTTATTATAAAAAAGTCGAATTCTCAGAATGGGCTTCCACGACCCATGTAGTAACTAAAAAAAATGGAGCTATACGTATTACTGGAAACTATAAACCTACGGTCAACCCTCAAATGATTATCGATGAGCATCCTATTCCAAAACCAGAAGATTTATTCAACAGAATTAAGGGTGCTACAATGTTTGCTCATCTAGATGTTACCGACGCATATACGCATTTGCCAATAGATGAAGAGTTTGGACATGTTCTTACCTTAAATACTATTACTCATGGCCTTATACAACCCACTCGTGCAGTCTATGGGGCTGCAAATATTCCAGCAATATGGCAGCGAAAAATGGAAGAAGTTTTAAAAGGATTACCTAATTGTCTTAATTTCTTCGATGATATACTATTATTTGCAAAAGATTTTAATGAATTACAACAAATTTTAGATTTGACTTTGGCCCGAATTAGACATTGTGGTCTTAAATTAAACAAATCGAAGTGTGTTTTTGCAGCAACGTCAGTGGAATTTTTAGGGCATTTAATTGATGCCAAGGGTATACATAAGTCAAATAAGCATATTGAATCTGTATTGAACGCACCGAAACCAAACTCCTTAGAAGACTTGCAGCTATTTCTAGGTAAAGCCTCATACTATAGTGCCTTTATTCCGGATCTAGCAACCCGTGAGAGGCCATTACGAGATATTCTAAAATCAAAGGTATTTTCATGGAATTTAATCGCGGATGCTGCTTACAACGATATTAAGAAAATTTTAGTATCTCCACAAGTTTTAATATCATATGATCCAAAACTACCATTATTGTTGGCAACGGATGCTAGTAAAACTGGCTTGGGCGCGGTATTGTCTCACCGTTTACCTAATGGCGAAGAACGACCTATAGCATACGCAAGTAGAACAATGAGTGTGACAGAACAACGTTACTCTCAAATAGATAAAGAGGCTTTGGCCATAGTATGGGCCGTTCAAAATTCTTTAAATATTTATATGCACGGCATTGGACATTAATAACCGATCACAAGCCACTTACTCAGATTTTGCACCCTAGTAAATCGCTTCCAGTTCTTTGTATTTCTCGTATGGCAAACTATGCCGATTTTTTAAGTAACTTTGACTTCGAGATAATATATAAACCATCCAAAGAGAATATTAATGCAGATTACATGTCACGTATTGTTCCAGATAATTCAGTAAAGTCACAATGCAACGAAAATTATGTAATTACTGAATACGACGAGTTTGATACTTTTATTTTTCGACAAATTAACCAGTTACCCGTTACAGCTGAAAAAATTGCCAATGAAACCCGTAAAGATTCAGTACTTGGAAAAATAGTTGCAATATTAGAGAAAGGACATTCGTTGGCAAAATATGGTTATACTGCACCAGAATCGAATATAGACTCTCAGGTAATTGCTTAATATTCGAACACAGAGTTGTAATTCCACAAAAGTTTCGAAAAGACATTCTTCAAAATCTACACGCAGCTCATTTAGGGATGGTAAAAATGAAAGGTATTGCTCGTTCCTTTATGTATTGGCCAAAAATCGATGCAGATATTGAAGCAGTGGCAAAAGACTGCAACGATTGTGCAAGAGTAGCAAATAAACCTAAGAAGTATACAGATCATCACTGGGAATATCCCAAAGGGCCTTGGGAACGAGTGCATATAGATTATGCTGGCCCTTTCGAGGGTATGATGTTACTAATTATTACAGATGCCTATAGCAAATGGCTGGATGTGAAAATAACCAAATCTATAACAGCTGAGGCAACAATTGCATTAGTCGATGAAGTTTTTGCAAATTACGGTGTTCCAGCGATGGTAGTATCCGATAATGGTACAAATTTCTCATCAGAAGAGTTTAACAAATACTTGACGGCTGTGGGAGTCAGATATCATAAATACACTGCACCTTATCATCCCTCTACTAACGGCCAAGCTGAACGTAGCGTTCAAACAGTAAAAAACGCATTAAAAGCTATGTGTACATCAAAACAAACATTACAACAAAATCTCAACGAGTTTTTAAGGCAGTATAAGAATGCACCTCATTCAACAACTGGAGTATCTCCAGCACAACTTTTTCTAGGCCGTCAAATTCGCACCCGTCTTGATTTAGTACATCCAGAAAATGTTTCTTCTAAAATAACAAATAAACAATTTTTGAAACAACATGAGCAATTTAGAGAGTTTCAAGTGGGTGACAATATATATTTTTTATCCGGTAATCAAAAGGAAAGCAAATGGATACCAGGTAAATAAATAGGCGTTTAGGCGATATTCATTACGAAATTCTTTATGAAAATAAGTATGTACGAAGACATATTGATCAAATTCGTGGTGCTACTCAAGGTGTACAAAAAGATGTGGTAAATGGAAACCTGAGTTATGGAAACAGAAGATCTGAGGAAAACAGGTCTTATAGGAGTATTATATATCCAGAAAATATGAATGATAATGTTTTAGTCCCCAGACATCCCGATCCTAATCTTCAGCATCCTGAAATAAATTCAAGTTCTCCTAATAATGCAAGAGATCCAGTAAATGAAGATAATGTTGTCCGCTCTCCTGTTCAGGAAAAGGACACAGATGATGAATTTGAAACACCACAAGCTGGTCAAAATCAAAACCACCCGCAAACACCACATTACAAAACAGCGCAAGCGCGACGAGAAGAAACCAGTGAACAGTTAAATATAGAGAATTCACATTTACCAAGTGATCAGCATCTACGACGATCAAAAAGGATTCCAAAACCAAGAGTTTTATTTTCACCTGACAATTCCTAAAGGAAGAGATAAATGTTATGTTTAATACTACTTGTTTAAATTTGATTCTTAAACGTTTGTAGTAACTTATGATTTTTGTTTACTTTTTGAAGTTTATGTTTTAAATTATTATTATTCGATTGTTAATTTTTCATTGCTGTATATCTAAATTTAAATAAAGAAATACGTTATTTTTAAAAACACAATAGGAGTAAATAACAAAACAAAAAAAAAAAAAAATAATTTCATATGATAAATTTTGTGGCGGAAATTAAGCAGGGATGGGAAAATAAAAAAATAATTTCAAAACTGTGATGTTATTTCTTGTTCTGGTGCCAGGGACTAATTTTTTGGTGTTTTTTTCTTCCTTTAACCGGCCACTTTTTGAATTTTCAATAACATTGAACTTAGAGACAAGAAAATAAGAGTAAATGAGAATCTATATGAAGGGTCTTTTTGAAGCTTGAAGCATATTATTTGACATATACTATTTTTGAATATCGTCATACTGATTAAAGGAATATCTATAAAAGGGAAGTTCTGGTCCTTTTTTCTTTATTCAGAAACGTAAAAAAAAACACTGATGGAATAAAAATTTATAAGAGTAAAGTTTCTGGTACTTTTTTGTTCTTCAACTGGTACTTTTTGGTTATTCTGCAATATCGAACCTAGAAATATAAAATCAGGAGTAGTGTTTATTAAACCGGTTAACCGGTTAACCGAAAAACCGGTTTTTTTTGCATATTTCGGTTTTTCGCAAACCGGTTTTTTTAAAACATTGGTTTCGGTTAACCGGGTTATCCGGTTTTTTTCACTCGGTTAACCGGTTTTTAATATTGTAAAATATCGCTAAATTGATTTTTGTTTCTATTTGTATTTGTCCGTTTTTTTAAACTTTTAACGTATCTCTTTCCGTTTGTTATCATATCGCTGTGAATTGCTTTCTTATGTTTATTTCGTAAAGTATATTTAACGAGATTAACTAAATAACAGCTGTTAAGTTTTTTGTATATGAGTTTCAATAAAATCTTCATATGAAAAAAATTACAAGCTAGGCTACTAACTACACCTTGTTAAATTCATGGGTTTGTTTTGATTATTTGTTTCTCTGACACTTTTTACGTGAAACAAAATAAATATTTACGTCGAATCAAAGGGAAAAAAGATTGAATGTTTATTTAAAAAGATATTAATTAAAAAAGACAATTATAAACAAAAATAAAACTAAAGTGATCGTTTATGTTTATTTATTTAAAAAGTGAGTGAATAGTTAAATTTAAATATAGTCTGAGAATTAATATTCTTGGTTTTTGCTTACAGAAATGAGTTCGAAAGTTTGGAAATATTATAAAAAGAAAATGAGAAGGCTCATTGTACTATTTGTCCACAAATTCTTGCTTGTAAGGGGTCTTCCACCTCGTCGCTTAAAAGTCATTTAATTCGAAAACATCAAATAGACTTAAACGATAAAAAAACTAGTGAACAAAACATGTCTGTGGAGGAAGACAAGCCATCTTCATCTCAAGCTGGAGTTAAAAAATATTTTAATAAAGTCAACAGTAATCTATCTCTGGATGAAATATTATCTCGAGCAGTTGCAGAGGATGGATTTTCTATTAATTCAGTGTGTAAATCAAAACTATTAAAATCTTATTTAAAATCTTTAAAAATGGAAATGCCTAGCCAAATGACAGCCTGGAAGGAACAAATTTATTCCTTTTACGAGCACAAAAAATTGAGTACATTAATATTTTGAAAAAATTTTAATTGAAGGTGGTAAATTTTCTATTATGTCGACGAATGGGTTGATGTGTCCGCTTATAAATATATAAACGTTAGTGTCCGCGGTTACAATCCTAATTTTCAAACAGCTTGGAAGTTTTTAATTTAGGATTACAACAAATTACAACCAAAGGCACTGCAGAAAATATTGAAAGTGCATTAAAGAAAAACTTACGGAATTTAAAATAAATTTGGACACTGACGTAGTGGCATCCACTCACGACGGAGCAGCGGTTATGAAAAAATATGGGGAATCTATATCCCCCGATAAGTCAACTCTGCTATAACCACAGCATTCATTTATGCGTAGTAGATAGTTTTTATAAACAATCAAATAAAGTTGATTTACATGACACTAGTTGGTCTGATATGGAAAGTGAATATTCCGATTCTGAAGATTCCGTCGATATTAATAGTATTCAAATTGAACTTTTGCCGTCAATTCTAACAACGGTTTCTAAAGTTAGAAAGGTTGTAAAAATGTTTAAAAGATCTCAAGATAAACAACAAAAACTTCAAAGTTATGTGACTGAACAGGAGGGCCATCAAATTCACCTAAAATTAGACGTTAAGCACCGTTGGAATTCGCTTTCTCAAATGATTGGTATATTTTTAAAGCTTAAAATTTGTATTAACCATACTTTACTTGATTTAAATTTAGAAACCTTTTCTGAAGCAGAGTTTAAAGTATTAGAAAGTGTTTTCAAAGACTTGGAACCGCTTTGTATTTCAGTTAATAAATTGTCAAGTGATTCAGTGACACTTTTAGAAGCCGATGCAATATTAAAATTCGTACTAAGTGCTGTTGGCAAATCAAACACAATTTTTTCAAAAACACTTCATTCGTGTCTTCATGACAGAATTTTCCAGAGAAGAAACATAATACTAAATACTCTAATATTGTATCTTCATAATGGATATATGCCAAAAACATGTAAATATTTAAATATTCAACAAAGTCTGCAGCTATAGATTTGGCTGGTAAATTATATAATAGGCTATTTTCTGAATCAATACCAGATAATATCATTCTTAATAATACATCAGACTCTGAGTGTGTTGAAATTTCAACTTCAAGTAGTTTAGAAGAACAACTTAATATAACTTTAAAATCTATTCAAAATCCCATTTTCAAACACCAAACTGTTAAGAATAATAATCTAACGGATGATTTTGATTATTTAGAAAAATTTAAAAAGAGAAGTACTAATTTAAATTTACTTTATAATTCACTTCTTACTATAAACCCAACTTCAACAATTAGTGAAAGAGTTTTTTCAGTTTCATCTTCTATTAAAACAAAAATTAAAAATAGAATGTCTCCAAAGCATTTAAATTGCATTCTATTTTTAAAATACTATTTTAAGAAACATATATAAAATAAGAAACATCTTATATATCTTTTTAAAAATATTTTTGCTCTCTTTAAAAAAAAGTACAAATTATTTTTAACTCTGTTATTTTTTTAAATAATGAATTTTTTAAGTTTGTTCTTATTATTATTTCAAATTGATATGTAAAACTTAGGCCTTATTGTTATTTTTTATTAATTAATTTTATTTTTTCAATAAAAATGAAATTTTAAGTTATTGTTTAAAATAATTGTTTTTACTTCGGTTAACCGGTTTAACCGGTTTTTTCACATGCGGTTAACCGAAAAACCGGGTTTTTAAAAAGGACCCATTTTCGGTTAACCGACAAACCGGTTTTTTAAATAGTCGGTTTTTTATAAACACTAATCAGGAGTGAATGTTTTTGGTACTTTTTTTTAAATCTTACTTGTTTTATATTAAAACCTTTTGAAAAAAAACCAAGAATTTTTGTTTTTTTTTTTTTTTTTGTTTTTATTTGGAATTACTTAATTCCATATCAACATTATTACTTTTTTTATTTTGTTTTTATTGAATTCAGTAAAATTTTTTCTCTGTTGGTTTATTATTTAAACGATTTACTTCATTTATTATTTTTTATTTTTATTATTTTGTTTTCATTAATTGTTTATGTATTTTTTGTTGTTGTTATTTTTACTTTAATAAATGGTTGTTGTTGTTTACCTTTATGTTATTTTTTTAAATATATTATTTAATTTTTTTTCTTGTTTTGTTGGTTTTGTTTTAAATTTAAACTTAAATTTTACAAAAAGCAGTGTTTGTTGTTTTTTGTTTATATATACCATGATTTTTTGTTTGTTTTTTTTTTTTACTGAATGATGTTAAATTTGTTGGTTTTTTTTTTCTTTAATATTAAATCTAAATTAAAGCAATATTTTTTGTTTTTTTAATTTTAATACTAAAAGAAAATGTATGTAAACGAGACGAAACTTAACAAAAATTTGTTTAATATTTTCTTTTTTTTTTTAATAATAATAATGAAGAAAAATATTTTTTTACCTTTTTTTTACTAAAGTTTTAAATTTAAATTATGATTTTTTTGTTGGTTTTTTGCTAATTTAAATGTTATTATATATATTTTTTTTGTTTTTTATTAATTTAAGTTTTTTTTTATTTATTTAAAAACTAAAATAGTTTTACATTGAAGCTTAATGAATTGTTTTTTGGGGGATTTTTTTTAGCAAAGTGGTTTTACACAAGATTTTTTTATTAATTTATTATTAATTTTTCTTTTTGTTTTGTTTTTAACTAGCTTATTTAAACATTTTTTTTTATATTTATGCTTCACACTGACAAAAAGGGCAATTTTTTATATGTATATATGAACAATGTAGTTTTTTTGTTTTAATTTATTTTTTTTTTTTTAAGAGGAGTTTTTTTATTTATAATATAGAGCTCTGTTTGTTTAAACCCAAAAACTTTAAAAATTAAGAAATTTTTTTTAAATGGGAATTCTGAAATTTTGTTTTAAGTTTTAAAAGTATTTAAAAGTTTTTTTGGTTTTAGTTTTATGTGTATTAGGTGTGTAAGTACTTAAAGCCTAAATTTTAGCTTAAAATTAATTTTTTTTTCATTAATCTTAATATTTTATTATTACGCTAACAGTTAGCACTGCTTTTTTTGGGGGTTATGTTTTATGAAAAGTAACCAAAAAGAAAATAATATAATTGTTGTTTTTTATTAAATGTTAAGAATATTTGAAATATTAACTTTTTTTATTAAGTTATTTTCTCTTTATTAAAAAATTTGTTGCTGCTGTGTTGCTGTTTTATTATATTTTACTCTCCTTGCTGGTGTTAGTTTAAACAATATTTCTACTTAGTTGTTGTTGTTGTTTTTTTATAATTT